CCGCACCTGTCTGGCGATGGTGGCATACGCGTTGAGCCGCACCTGTCTGGCGATGGTGGCATACGCGTTGAGCGCACCTGTCTGGCGATGGTGGCATATCGCGTTGAGCGCACCTGTCCTGGCGATGGTGGCAATACGCGTTTGACCGCACCTGTCTGGCGATGGTGGCATACGCGTTGACCGCACCTGTCTGGCGATGGTGGCATACGCGTTGAGCGCACCTGTCTGGCGATGGTGGCATACGCGTTGAGCGCACCTGTCTGGCGATGGTGGCATACGCGTTGAGCGCACCTGTCTGGCGATGGTGGCATACGCGTTGAGCGCACCTGTCTGGCGATGGTGGCATACGCGTTGAGCGCACCTGTCTGGCGATGGTGGCATACGCGTTGAGCGCACCTGTCTAGCGATGGTGGCATACGCGTTGAGCGCACCTGTCTGGCGATGGTGGCATACGCGTTGAGCGCACCTGTCTGGCGATGGTGGCATGCGCGTTGACCGCACCTGTCTGGCGATGGTGGCATACGCGTTGACCGCACCTGTCTGGCGATGGTGGCATACGCGTTGAGCGCACCTGTCTGGCGATGGTGGCATACGCGTTGAGCGCACCTGTCTGGCGATGGTGGCATACGCGTTGAGCGCACCTGTCTGGCGATGGTGGCATACGCGTTGACGCACCTGTCTGGCGATGGTGGCATACGCGTTGACGCACCTGTCTGGCGATGGTGGCATACGCGTTGAGCGCACCTGTCTGGCGATGGTGGCATACGCGTTGAGCGCACCTGTCTGGCGATGGTGGCATACGCGTTGAGCGCACCTGTCTGGCGATGGTGGCATACGCGTTGAGCGCACCTGTCTGGCGATGGTGGCATACGCGTTGAGCGCACCTGTCTGGCGATGGTGGCATACGCGTTGAGCGCACCTGTCTGCGATGGTGGCATACGCGTTGAGCGCACCTGTCTGGCGATGGTGGCATACGCGTTGAGCGCACCTGTCTGGCGATGGTGGCATACGCGTTGACGCACCTGTCTGGCGATGGTGGCATGCGCGTTGAGCGCACCTGTCTGGCGATGGTGGCATACGCGTTGACGCACCTGTCTGGCGATGGTGGCATACGCGTTGAGCGCACCTGTCTGGCGATGGTGGCATACGCGTTGAGCGCACCTGTCTGGCGATGGTGGCATACGCGTTGACGCACCTGTCTGGCGATGGTGGCATACGCGTTGACCGCACCTGTCTGGCGATGGTGGCATACGCGTTGAGCGCACCTGTCTGGCGATGGTGGCATACGCGTTGAGCGCACCTGTCTGGCGATGGTGGCATACGCGTTGAGCGCACCTGTCTGGCGATGGTGGCATACGCGTTGAGCGCACCTGTCTGGCGATGGTGGCATACGCGTTGAGCGCACCTGTCTGGCGATGGTGGCATACGCGTTGAGCGCACCTGTCTGGCGATGGTGGCATACGCGTTGAGCGCACCTGTCTGGCGATGGTGGCATACGCGTTGAGCGCACCTGTCTGCGATGGTGGCATACGCGTTGAGCGCACCTGTCTGGCGATGGTGGCATACGCGTTGAGCGCACCTGTCTGGCGATGGTGGCATGCGCGTTGACCGCACCTGTCTGGCGATGGTGGCATACGCGTTGACCGCACCTGTCTGGCGATGGTGGCATACGCGTTGAGCGCACCTGTCTGGCGATGGTGGCATACGCGTTGAGCGCACCTGTCTGGCGATGGTGGCATACGCGTTGACGCACCTGTCTGGCGATGGTGGCATACGCGTTGAGCGCACCTGTCTGGCGATGGTGGCATACGCGTTGAGCGCACCTGTCTGGCGATGGTGGCATACGCGTTGACCGCACCTGTCTGGCGATGGTGGCATACGCGTTGAGCGCACCTGTCTGGCGATGGTGGCATACGCGTTGAGCGCACCTGTCTGGCGATGGTGGCATACGCGTTGAGCGCACCTGTCTGGCGATGGTGGCATACGCGTTGAGCGCACCTGTCTGGCGATGGTGGCATACGCGTTGAGCGCACCTGTCTGGCGATGGTGGCATACGCGTTGACGCACCTGTCTGGCGATGGTGGCATACGCGTTGACCGCACCTGTCTGGCGATGGTGGCATACGCGTTGAGCGCACCTGTCTGGCGATGGTGGCATACGCGTTGAGCGCACCTGTCTGGCGATGGTGGCATACGCGTTGAGCGCACCTGTCTGCGATGGTGGCATACGCGTTGAGCGCACCTGTCTGGCGATGGTGGCATACGCGTTGAGCGCACCTGTCTGGCGATGGTGGCATACGCGTTGACCGCACCTGTCTGGCGATGGTGGCATACGCGTTGACCGCACCTGTCTGGCGATGGTGGCATACGCGTTGAGCGCACCTGTCTGGCGATGGTGGCATACGCGTTGAGCGCACCTGTCTGGCGATGGTGGCATACGCGTTGAGCGCACCTGTCTGGCGATGGTGGCATACGCGTTGACCGCACCTGTCTGGCGATGGTGGCATACGCGTTGACCGCACCTGTCTGGCCGATGGTGCATACCTGCGTTGAGCCGCACCTGTCTGGCGATGGTGGCATACGCGTTGAGCGCACCTGTCTGGCGATGGTGGCATACGCGTTGAGCGCACCTGTCTGGCGATGGTGGCATACGCGTTGAGCGCACCTGTCTGGCGATGGTGGCATACGCGTTGAGCGCACCTGTCTGGCGATGGTGGCATACGCGTTGAGCGCACCTGTCTGGCGATGGTGGCATACGCGTTGAGCGCACCTGTCTGGCGATGGTGGCATACGCGTTGAGCGCACCTGTCTGGCGATGGTGGCATACGCGTTGAGCGCACCTGTCTGGCGATGGTGGCATACGCGTTGACGCACCTGTCTGGCGATGGTGGCATACGCGTTGAGCGCACCTGTCTGGCGATGGTGGCATACGCGTTGAGCGCACCTGTCTGGCGATGGTGGCATACGCGTTGAGCGCACCTGTCTAGCGATGGTGGCATACGCGTTGAGCGCACCTGTCTGGCGATGGTGGCATACGCGTTGAGCGCACCTGTCTGGCGATGGTGGCATGCGCGTTGACCGCACCTGTCTGGCGATGGTGGCATACGCGTTGACCGCACCTGTCTGGCAATGGTGGCATACGCGTTGACGCACCTGTCTGGCGATGGTGGCATACGCGTTGAGCGCACCTGTCTGGCGATGGTGGCATACGCGTTGAGCGCACCTGTCTGGCGATGGTGGCATACGCGTTGAGCGCACCTGTCTGGCGATGGTGGCATACGCGTTGACCGCACCTGTCTGGCGATGGTGGCATACGCGTTGAGCGCACCTGTCTGGCGATGGTGGCATACGCGTTGAGCGCACCTGTCTGGCGATGGTGGCATACGCGTTGACGCACCTGTCTGGCGATGGTGGCATACGCGTTGAGCGCACCTGTCTGGCGATGGTGGCATACGCGTTGAGCGCACCTGTCTGGCGATGGTGGCATACGCGTTGAGCGCACCTGTCTGCGATGGTGGCATACGCGTTGAGCGCACCTGTCTGGCGATGGTGGCATACGCGTTGAGCGCACCTGTCTGGCGATGGTGGCATACGCGTTGACGCACCTGTCTGGCGATGGTGGCATACGCGTTGACCGCACCTGTCTGGCGATGGTGGCATACGCGTTGAGCGCACCTGTCTGGCGATGGTGGCATACGCGTTGAGCGCACCTGTCTGGCGATGGTGGCATACGCGTTGAGCGCACCTGTCTGGCGATGGTGGCATACGCGTTGAGCGCACCTGTCTGGCGATGGTGGCATACGCGTTGAGCGCACCTGTCTGGCGATGGTGGCATACGCGTTGACCGCACCTGTCTGGCGATGGTGGCATACGCGTTGAGCGCACCTGTCTGGCGATGGTGGCATACGCGTTGAGCGCACCTGTCTGGCGATGGTGGCATACGCGTTGAGCGCACCTGTCTGGCGATGGTGGCATACGCGTTGAGCGCACCTGTCTGGCGATGGTGGCATACGCGTTGACCGCACCTGTCTGGCGATGGTGGCATACGCGTTGAGCGCACCTGTCTGGCGATGGTGGCATACGCGTTGAGCGCACCTGTCTGGCGATGGTGGCATACGCGTTGAGCGCACCTGTCTGGCGATGGTGGCATACGCGTTGAGCGCACCTGTCTGGCGATGGTGGCATACGCGTTGAGCGCACCTGTCTGGCGATGGTGGCATACGCGTTGAGCGCACCTGTCTGCGATGGTGGCATACGCGTTGACGCACCTGTCTGGCGATGGTGGCATACGCGTTGAGCGCACCTGTCTGGCGATGGTGGCTACTCGTTGACCGCACCTGTCTGGCGATGGTGGCATACGCGTTGACCGCACCTGTCTGCGATGGTGGCATGCGCGTTGAGCGCACCTGTCTGGCGATGGTGGCATACGCGTTGAGCGCACCTGTCTGGCGATGGTGGCATACGCGTTGAGCGCACCTGTCTGGCGATGGTGGCATACGCGTTGAGCGCACCTGTCTGGCGATGGTGGCATACGCGTTGAGCGCACCTGTCTGGCGATGGTGGCATACGCGTTGAGCGCACCTGTCTGGCGATGGTGGCATACGCGTTGACCGCACCTGTCTGGCGATGGTGGCATACGCGTTGACCGCACCTGTCTGGCGATGGTGGCATACGCGTTGAGCGCACCTGTCTGGCGATGGTGGCATACGCGTTGAGCGCACCTGTCTGGCGATGGTGGCATACGCGTTGAGCGCACCTGTCTGGCGATGGTGGCATACGCGTTGAGCGCACCTGTCTGGCGATGGTGGCATACGCGTTGAGCGCACCTGTCTGGCGATGGTGGCATACGCGTTGAGCGCACCTGTCTAGCGATGGTGGCATACGCGTTGACCGCACCTGTCTGGCGATGGTGGCATACGCGTTGAGCGCACCTGTCTGGCGATGGTGGCATACGCGTTGACCGCACCTGTCTGGCGATGGTGGCATACGCGTTGACCGCACCTGTCTGGCGATGGTGGCATACGCGTTGAGCGCCCCGAGTAGCGCTTGGGCGTGCCGGGCGGGAGACGCCCCTCGGACTGCAGGCGCACCTTGACCAGGTCCGTGGGGTTGGCGATGGCTATGCCCACCGCGCCTGACGGCAACGTGCAGGGGGGACAGGGGAAGGCCGAGGGGGGGTCAGAGGGGTGAGCGCGGCGCGAGGTGGCGTGCCAGCAACCACTTGTGAGACGAAATCGAGAGCACGGGAAGGGGGGGTTGGGGGGTACACAGATGAGCAGTGAGGGCGAGGATGCTGATGATGAGTGGTGAGTGCACGCACCTGTGGTGAGGGCACAGCACCTGTGGTGAGGGCACGGCACTTGTGGTGAGGGCACGGCACCTGTGGTGAGTGCACGGCACCTGTGGTGAGGGCACGGCACATGTGGTGAGGGTACGGCACTGTGGTGAGGGCACGGCATTTGTGGTGAGGGCACGGCACCTGTGGTGAGTGCACGGCACCTGTGGTGAGGGCACGGCACCTGTGGTGAGTGCACGGCACCTGTGGTGAGGGCACGGCACCTGTGGTGAGTGCACGGCACCTGTGGTGAGGGCACGGCACCAGTGGTGAGGGCACGGCACTGTGGTGAGGGCACAGCACCTGTGGTGAGGGCACGGCACCTGTGGTGAGTGCACGGCACCTGTGGTGAGTGAGGGCACGGCACCTGTGGTGAGTGCACGGCACCTGTGGTGAGGGCACGGCACAAGTGGTGAGTGCACAGCACCTGTGGTGAGTGCACAGCACCTGTGGTGAGGGCACGGCACCTGTGGTGAGGGCACGGCACCTGTGGTGAGTGCACGGCACCTTGGTGAGGGCACAGCACCTGTGGTGAGGGCACGGCACCTGTGTGGGAGGGCACAGCACCTGTGGTGAGGGCACAGCACCTGTGGTGAGGGGCACGGCACCTGTGGTGAGGGCACGGCACCTGTGGTGAGGGCACGGCACATGTGGTGAGGGCACGGCACCTGTGGTGAGTGCACAGGACCTGTGGTGAGGGCACGGCACCTGTGGTGAGGGCACGGCACCTGTGGTGAGTGCACGGCACCCTGTGGTGAGGGCACGGCACCTGTGGTGAGTGCACGGCACCTGTGGTGAGGGCAGCACCTGTGGTGAGGGCACGGCACCTGTGGTGAGGCACGGCACCTGTGGTGAGGGCACGGCACCTGTGGTGAGGGCAAGGCACCTGTGGTGAGTGCACGGCACCTGTGGTGAGGGCACGGCACCTGTGGTGAGGGCACAGCACCTGTGGTGAGGGCACGGCACATGTGGTGAGGGCACGGCACCTGTGGTGAGGGCACGGCACCTGTGGTGAGTGGACGGCACCTGTGGTGAGGGCACAGCACCTGTGGTGAGGGCACCGCACCTGTGGTGAGGGCACGGCACCTGTGGTGAGGGCACGGCACCTGTGGTGAGGGCACGGCACCTGTGGTGAGGGCACGGCACCTGTGGTGAGTGCACGGCACCTGTGGTGAGTGCACGGCACTGTGGTGAGGGCGCATGCAGCACGTTGTGGTGAGGGACGGGCACCTGTGTGGTGAGTGCACGGCACCTGTGGTGAGGGCGGCAGCGATCTTCGTGGTGAGCGCACGTCACCCTGATGGTCCTTGCCCGACGAAGAGCGCCTTCACCTGCGCACGGGCACACACGACTAGGCACACACGGGGCACACATGGGGCACACACGGGGCACACGCGGAGCACACGCGGGGCACACACGGGGCACATGCAGGGCACACAAGGGCACACGCGGGGCGCACACGGGGCACACACGGGGCACACATGGGGCACACACGGGGCACACATCGCCATGTGAGGAACAGGGAAACACCGAGCCAATGCAGGCCAACCCTTCACAAACCAACACACGGTCTGCACTCTCCCACTGCCAATAAAGAGTGTGAGCCTTCATAAGTCTCACTCTAACGGCCATACTCCAGCCCCCACACCTCTTAGCGCTGACTTGCAGCAACACCAAACCGGATCCGAGGCTCACCGGGTCATAGAGGCTCACCGGGTCGTAGAGGC